GAATGCCGAAAGCCCCGTTTCGGGCCGGTGGCGACAACACTAAGGGGAAAATTCATGTAAACTTCTTCATTGAGATCTCAATGCAAAAAGACATTACTAACATCAAGTTGTTCAAAAACTTCATCATTTGATAGCAGCCAAGGCAAGTAAGGTTCTCATAGTAGTTAATTTGGTAAAGAGGGAAAAAGTGTCAAAATAATCAACTCCTTTCATATGATAGTATCCCTTTTCAACTAAACATACTTTAACCCTTTTCAATAGATTCATCATCACGATATTTAACTTCATAAATCCATTTGTATCCAATAGGTGTCCTTCCTTTAGGCAAGTCAGCCATGGACCAAGTTTTTGTGGTTGCAAGAACATCAAACTCATCTTTCATAACATTTTTCCAACAATCAAATATGCAAGCTTGGGAATGAGATTTGGGTTCAAGGGTGCAAAAAACATCAAGAAAAAAGATTTTATATGATGAAGTACATTTATCATAGGCTACAATAATAGACAAAAGATAAAGAGAAGTGCCTGAGGATGATTTAGGCAAAGAAAAAAACAAGGAAACTACAGTGATAGTATTCAAGATAAGAGGGTCGACTTCCAATTCTATTGGATTGTCAAGTATGAGCTAGATTATTATAAGGAAGAGCATTAGGATTATGACATGGATGAGCATTTTTAATAGGTATAGAAAGAATAATAGGAGAAGGTGACAAAGAAATGTTGTATAAGGTTACCATATACTTGTGAATTTTTTACAACATGATCTTGTTGTGGTTGGAAGAAATGTTGAAGTGATCAAGTAATAGAGGCACTTGACATCTACATGTAGTGATGTAAATAATTTTACCTTCACTAATATAATTAATTTTTCATTCATTGAATCCTTAAATGAAGGTACAAAAATCATATTTTGACAACTTTATTGACCACATGTTTTGTTCTTTTAGATTGTCGGAGCATTGATGAGGGATTAGATGTTTAGTTGATTATGAAGGAAGAAGAAATTCAGCATAAAGACTATGTAATAAGTTTTATGTAACTCAAACCATTCAGATGGGAGTTACCTTTATTTTTCGTGGTCTTCCACGTTTAAATGGGTAGACGATCAATTTCGTCTGGGGTGTTGAGCTTAGGGGAGCCTGAACTTGATGAGATCAAG